ATTTACATGTCACAAGAACGCGGATATCTTCAAAAATCTTTAGCGAAAGAGTCTTTCAAGACATCCGCGGTTGTTTAGTTAAAGAGAAAAGCAGAATTAAGTGTTGCACAGTGTCGTGTAAAGTAAAAATTCTCCGTGAGCTACATAAAAGTAAGAACACCTGTCGTCGTTGAAACGCCCCTCCTTACTGCAGAACGTCTCATGGATAATGTGCAGCGGCGCGGTCATCATGGGGAAAAGAACACCGACAGGCTGATCAGGAGCCCGACGCGAAGCTGAGGGATCTAGATCGGCATGGTGTTACCGTAAAAATGGGTAATCGTTGTAGCTAAGCAGTTAGGTAGTTAAAATAATTATTACCAACATTTGAATGCGCATTGCACATGTCACAAGTAAAACTTGTGTCCGTTCAGTTAGAAAAAGCTTTATAAAAGCACACACACAAATGGTGCATTGTTAACAGCTACGGCTAATGTATGTACTCTTTGAGGTGGATCAACACAATCCTGAAAAAATTCACAAATAATGCAAGGCAGAAAATTGCATTGCGTTATGTCAGAACAGGATTTAGAGATGAGCTGATATGTGATGAGTGGGTGTCAGTGGTGAGCATGTACCTGTAATAACTGTCGTCGTAGTCTCCTGGTCAGGCAGGGAGGTGTTTCCATGTGCTGACGAAGGCGGTGGGGATGAGTGAATAAGGCACAGTGGTGATGGAGTTCCAGTTATCTGACGTGGGGTCGTAACAGTCCAGCGTTTTACACCGCTGCGTCCCAAAATAACCTCCGACCACATAGAGCTTATTCCCTGAGGCCACGGCGTGGCAGCTCATCCGTTTGGACGTCATGTCGCCCACTCGAGTCCACTGATTGGTTTCACAGTCAAAGCGATAGGCGGAGGCGGCGGTGAACTCAGTGTCCCCCCCCATGATGAAGATCTGGCTCCCCAAGACAGCAGCCGCCGTGTAGCGCCAGGGCTGAGGGCATTCAGCCGCTATGTTCCAGCGGTTACCCACAGGGTCATAGCATTGGACCTAGACGTAGAGTTTGAAAGTTTTCAGGTGCAACAATAATTTTACCACATTTTACGATGGAAACATATAAACAAGTAAATTAAAGTAAAACTCTCTCTTTCATATAGAGTGGTGCGGTGAAGATGTATTATTGTAGGCTGACCCAGAAGTTAGCTAGCAAGGGATCTCTTTTTGGAATTTACTGAAAATAATATCTGTGACAAGCACACATCTATGATACTTACACGTTTTGTTCAGAAGGATAATCTCCACATTTATAGCACTTTTATGATTTTGAAGCGTAAACAAAATCATCAGAAGTGAAAAGCTAAAGTTACAACATCACGATCGCTTAGAAATGCGTCACCTACGCTAACCTAACAGCGGGTTTGTCGTGATAACGCTAAGTAGTCTAATTTCAATTCTGTTAAAAACCACGATTTTTAGGACACATAGAAATTTAAGCTTTTGTTAACCATAACAAAAGACCATATTTCAGTAGTTTAACCAAACACACGCTCAGAAAACCACTTTGAGACGAGGGAATCAGAAGTTGTAAAACTCATTTCCAGGTTTTAGGCCTTGTTTCTGCACCACTCTATTGAGGCTATAAGATTACAAAGTGAAAGTGGATAGGAGTTTATTAGTTAGTTTGAAACTGAATTATGGGATGTTAGGGACTGCCTTGTAAGGAAGTTTAGGGAAGGTACAAATACAATCCACCCACCTTGGAGGCCTTGTCTCTATGAATGGTGGTCCCCCCAAAAACAAAGAGTTTGAGTTTGGCACTGACCACAGCTGCGTTACTGACTCCATCTCTGAGAGGAGCCATCATAGTCCATTTATTAGTAAGAGGTTCATACCTCTCCACCTAGGAAAAAGTTAGTTAGACTTTCATGTTTGATTTCAAACACACAAACAGATTAAAGGTGAATGAGTCCAAGTGGAGTCAAAGTCAAACTTTATAACAACCAGAAAACAGGCTGCTATTTTGCACATGTATACATAATTAAGTATTCTATTCATGAATATGCATAGTAGAAATTGTAAATTCTGATACCTGTTTTAGGGAGACAGATGGTGAGGCAGGGAAAACTCCTGCTATGGCTGTGTGACCTCCAACAACGTAGAGACTATTCTCCAGCTCAGCTGAGCCATGGCCAAACCTGGACAACAGATGTCCCACATTATTTGCATGTATATTTTAGAGCAGTGGTTCTCAACCAAGGCTCTGAGCATTTCAATGGATACTTGGTCCCAAGGGGGCCTCCAGAAGATGGGTTTCTTTTGACTTCTCATTAACTATAGAATCGGGACCTAATGCGAGTAAGAGTGAATATTCTGACCGTATGTCTCACTCCCTTGAGCTATCTGCTCAACTGCTGTTATAACTATAGAACTTGGTCTTTATCATCAAAAACCCCAAACATATTTCCAGATTGAGGCCCCTAAAGCAAAATGATATCAAATGGTTTATAAGGAAAATGTATACTCAGTTAATAAATCAAGTGAGACTACACGCTTAAGACTTTTCTAGTAGACTTCTACACAATTCGATTTGACTACATGAATAGGCAGTGTAATTTCTGACTTTATTGTAACATAAGTTACTCACCTGGCTATTAGCATGGGAGCTCCTTTGGACCACTCCTCATGGACAGTGTCGTAGATCCAGACGTCTTTAGAGACTCCGTTCTCTGAGCCTCGGCCACCTGTGACGTAGACCTTACAGCCGATAGCACACGCACTGAACTCCTTCCTGGGGCTGGGAAGGTCTGCTTTTGGTATGATCTCCTTGGCTTTATGGTCAACCTAAAAATGGTCCACAGTAGTAGATATTAAAAGGTCCCATGTCATGCTTTTCCGGTTATTACCCATCCCCTTGTGTGTTATGAAGGTTTTTCTGCATGTAAACGGTCTGCAGAGTCACAAACCCTCAAAGTACATCCTGTAGCGAGTAAAACTCTAACACAGGAAAGACCTGTCTATGCTGCCCCAGAACGCCTCGGTGGAGATTTAGCACTGTCCGCTCCTCGCAGCAACGAGCCTCGCAACGTCCCGATCAATCAGAGCGCACTGGGCTCACAGGGAGGAGGGGGGGGGCTCCAACAAGCCGTTTAGGACAGAAAGTGAATAAACATACTATATAGAGATGCTGTATGAGAAACCAATGTGAGTTTGGAAAATTGCACAATGTGAATCTATTCTAGTAGACCTCAACAATGGAATTATGATCAGTAGAAATGGCCATGTCATGGGACCTTTAAATGTGTTAATGAAATATTAGTTACAACAAACTAAAGTCATACTTAAAAAACAAAAAAATGGGAATAAAACGGACAAAGAAAAAGAGATGTATATAATTTTGACTGGATGAGATTGTGATAGTCTCTATTTAGAACATTTGTTATGCTTATCGTCTATTTTCCTCTAAATGGGAATATAATTTACTACATTTTTTGCCGCTGCTTTTAATAGATATACTCATATCTCACACTACACAGTAACTTGTATTCATGTACCTGTGTTATTCATGTTTTATTATCTTTGCTTCTAAATAAGTGTTTTAAAATGCCATTTCATAATAATGTCTTTCATTTTTGTAAAGCACTTTGAATTGCCTTGTGTTGAAAGGTGCTATATAAATAAACTTGCCTTGCCTAAATTGACATAATGTTGCATTTAAGAAGCCTAAGAATAAAGAATGAGACCATAGAATCATAAGGAAAATGTTTACAGTGGTTATAAATCAAATGGAAATTCCTTCATTCATTTGATTCATAGACTTCAGATTTCATTTTGTGGTGACCCTGCTGGATATTAAAGTTAATTCAGGTTTAAGGCACTTTCACACCAGCTTCTCTTTTCAGGTTTTCAGGTAGGATTCAGTCTCTTGCTAAAGAGCACTAACAGGTGGACAGGAAGTCACTGGAATCAAATTGGCAACCTGTCCATTAATGGCCAACTGAAGTTATGTTTATTGGTAAGCATCTTACACCACCACCCCCCACAAACATCATGTTTACATTAAGGCATTATATTTTATACAAACAGTATGGCATGTGTTTCTGATAATCTTCTATAATGGTACATTGTGAGCTCCTACTTAGGCTGCTGTATGTTATCTGACAACCCTATCATTCATATAACACATACTGTATAAGGACAGTGTGTGTCTTTCACCTGGTAGATCTTGTCACACATGAAGGTCTGGCCTCCCAGGATCAGCAGCGTGTGTCCTGCCTTGCGTGGGCGAGCACATGGACTTGTCACTATCCCGTCATTCTGGAGGATTTTTTTCTTGCACTGCATCGCCTCCTCTACTATTGACCTGCAGAGGAAAGTTAAAGCAAGAGCTCAGAAAACACACTTGTCACATACAGTATATCTTTACCAAAAGCGTGGCTTAATTCTCTTTCTACAGCTACAGAGAAGACGGGCAGCTCTTACCTGCTCCTCTTGTCAGCCATCACCAGCTCTTCACAGGCCACAGCCTCCAGCAGACACTCGGACGGCAGCAGAGCCAGCCTGATACCTCTCAGCAGCTCAGGTAGATGGTGACGCCGACCCTCCAAGTCATATCGAACCCAGCGCAGGACAGAGTTAAACACAACCTGCCACAAGTCAAAACAACAATTCAATACTTGAATAAAGAAAAAAGTGGTGGTGTGGCACCATCCTTTGCTACAACGATCAGAAAACTTTGAAACACAAAAAAGGGTCACAATAACAAGCTTCCAATAAAAAAGGCTCCTTCAGCAAAATCCAAATGGGATTTTTCATTGCATTTTGGATTATAGCAAAAATGTTGCTTCATCTATGATGTGTTACTTACATGTTCTACAGGAAAATCTCTACATATGAACACCAACACCAAGTCAATAGCTACCATTATAAACTGACTACATTACGGCTAAGCTAAAGGTGGCTAATGTTCGGCGTAATGACGTTTATTAATCCCATTTACTCACTTGTTAGCAAATATTTACTGACCTGTTTATGTTGTATAACAACTTGAAAATCTATGAAACTTGTGTTAACCACAGAATAGATTTCAGGCATCTAAGCAAAAACGCATTCAAAAAACCATTGACTTTCAAAAAGACTAACCCATTTCCAGGTTCCTGCACCACTTTTAGGCAACAATTTTAAGATTGTTACGGACTACAATAGAACACAACCATTGAGAAAGAGAAGACAAAAATAATGATGGGAAAGAAAGAAAGAAGTCAACAGGAAATAAAAGAGAGGATCACTCACCTGTTCATCTTCTATTTCCAGCTCATCGCTCAGAATCAGCTCCAGCAGCTTATCTTTCGACAGACTGTAGAAGTCCTCTGATTCTCTTACCTAAAGCACAGACAAATACTCTGATTACATTCAATTTTTTAATATATATATATATATATATATATATATATACTGTATGTATTATAATATCGGAAGTATCTACAGTAACTCATTTTCAGCTGCTAATCGAGTGATGAAAGGGAAATGGAGTTTAAGGTAGGACCACCCAGCAGATTTCATTTCGTCTTGGTTCTACAAATATAGCTGCAAGTGGCATTTGCAGATTCAAACCCTTCCTCTGTGAAAAGAACGAAGCAGCTCGATTACCAAAAGCAAAGCCACCAGCAAGTCTCTTAAGTGGGTTTAATCCCGTCTAAAGAAAGAGTGAGAACAATCCCGCACTTGTTTCAGCATTACAATGTAGGCAGCATTTTCCAATATTGAGCATTTAAAGCTAAATAAAGGATTGCTCATGGCAACTTTCGACTACTTGCTGCTGAGACCCCACTATGTGAAGAGTTTTGAGTATATTTCGCCAATTTTTTTACCAATCTTGCTCATTTGTAACAGATATATGTCTATATCTAAGTCCTGCATGATTGGAATGAAATGTTACTGTTTCCACTTACGCAGCGTCCACACGGCGGCGTGCGTTGAAGCTTGCCGGCGGGCGTGTCTGAAGCTCGACCAACAACCAATCACATGAATCTCCCGCTCCGGACACACAAGCACGCGGTTTGATTGGCTAGAGCTTGTACTGGCATATGATTTGATTGGCTGACGCTTCCGTCTAAGCTTCAAAAGTTTAACATTGCTCAACTTTTGAAGCGAACAATGCGAGCAAAGCGAAGCAACGCTCCCAGAATGCAGTTCGGCAAAGTGTGACGTCACCCCATTCAAAGTGAATGGGCAGAAGCGTTGAAGCTTCAACGCACGCCGCCGTGTGGACGGGCCGTTATGGTAGCTTGTTCCAGCTCACAGCAAATTCAGGGAAGGAATACAAAAATAAAAAAAATTCATAGGCCACACCCACATGCACCAATTATTATTGCACTTCCTGCCCCCAGTTCCCTTGCATCGAATTTGGTGAAATGCAGTTCAAAATGTTTTGGGGCACCCATTTGTGGCGCCACGTATGAATTGGGCTCAAAAGTTTTGAAGATCTATTCCTTGAAAACTGATTAAAATGTCTACCAAGTATGAGGTCACATGATTTGTTAATGGCTGTTGATTCATGGGCAATTTTGTTTGCAAAAGTTATTTATATGCATCTCGGTTTCACAATAGTTTCCGAACCCGAATAACATCAGTCAAGAAAACTACAGATAATATTTAAAGAGCTGAGGGTGTTGCCAACTCTTGCTCAGCGTATTTTTCTTATGATGATGAGGTCATGCTTGAGATCACAGATGTATCAGATCCAATCAATTCCAATCCAAGTCAATTTACTAAACGGAAAAGCACAGAAATCCGCCAATTTCCTTTTAGTTAACTGTAATCAAATATGGCAGAGTATATATGTCAGCATTTCACAGATAGCAGTGATTGGGCTGATAAATGCTTTCAGACCTTATGGCTGACACTGACAACACCAGGTTAGTGCGAGAAAAATCCTCATCATCCTTACGGTCTCATAGTGTAATAGACACATCCTCCACGACAGCTCGTACAGCCTTTTACACTGATGAGCGTCCGATAGCAGCATCATCCCCAGGCAGTTTGAAGAATGAAGGTTTTTTTCTAAAAACTCTGCTGCTGCGTCTCGAATGTCATGAAACTGCAACATGTCGCCCGCCTCTAACAATGACTCAGCGTTCTCCTCGTTTATGATGACTCGAGAAGAATAAGCAAAGTCCAGCAGGAGCTCCAAGACCTGGAAAAGTGGAGGATTAAAATTAAACGCTGACATTTTGTACAAGGAATGTTCTGACCAAATTACATAGCCAAGTTACTGAAATATTTTCCAAGCAAGAAACCATATAAGATGTAGACACAAAAAAACATAGGGCTGTGAGGGATGAAGAGAAAACTAAAACTGTGTCTTCTGTAGTTCCTTGGCTGTTATGTTCTGAGAGACAAAAAAAGAAACTGTGAATGACTCAGCAGATCAATACTGTAGGAACAGGTGCTGTGGGAAACAAAAACGTTTTAAAAAGTTCAGATTTTTCACCCTTCAAATGTCAATACCTTCCTTCAAAAAAATTCCAGTTTTTAGTGGCGTGATCGTGGCCTTAGGGTAAACGCAACATGCTGTTTTATGTAAGGCTGAGACCATTTGTTATGTGCCTTTCTTCATATCATAAATCCTCTTTCCTCCCATCTTTTTTTAACACTAGAACCGCCAGGGGTCGCTGTATACCTAAAACCGCCAACAGGTAAAATTTACCCACAGTTAGAATGCATTGATTTTCAATGTTCTTTTGATTAACATACTAGAACACAGGGTTAAGAGTGAGTTTTGATCGCACAATGGTGAAACATATACCAATATAATCTGTGGACTCTCAGCTTTCATCTGATATCTAGTTCATGCAGTAGTATAAAAGATCGCTACCGTGAGTTATGTACTAAGTGTCTATCTCTATATATCTATATCTCTCTCTCTATAAGGAGGCGCAGTAAACAACAGGCGTTGCTATATCAACACATCATGTTTATGTTTTTGCGCGAGATCAACAGCGCAGAAATCACTGCATCTTCTATGAGGTAAATATTACCCGCTGGCGCTGATGGGTATAAATGGCATTTATTGGGCAATTTTTTCAATCTGACTTCATATTGACAATTTTTAACAACAGAGGGTGCTACATAACACACTTTCAGGAAAAGTCACGGACTGGGAGACTTGAATATTTTATTGAAAGAAAGTTACATACAATCAAGAAACAGCTGTGGGTAAAATGTACCCGTTGGCGGTTCTAGTGCTAACCGTCTATAGAGTGGTATAGGAATGAGTCCTAAAACCCGAAAATGTGTCAGAATTGTACCAGTTCTAGTTCCCTTGTTTCAAAGGTTTTTTAAAACGTGTTTTTAGTTAAAGGCCTGAAATAAGGGAGATTTTCAAGGTGTATTCTATGACGTACATTTTGTCAGCCAATTCCCTAGTGATAAATGCCCGTAGCTTCTATGTGTAATAAAGTGAGCGGTCAATAATAAGTGACTAAATGGGTATACTAAACGTCATCCCGGCAAAGATTAGCCGCCTTAAACTAAGCTTTGAAGTCATGCCACCTTGTTGTAGTTTGTTTATAGCAACGCTAGCTTTTTACCTCTGGCAACTGCATTCATGCTTCAAAAACCATACAAGCAGTGTTAATATGTAGAGATTATCCTGCTGAACAAAAGGTTTGAGTATCATAAATGTGTTTGTCACATTTTTTATTTCATATTTTAAAATCCAATGGAAAAATCTCATTGCTTTTTATTGAAGGAGCCCTTTGTGATGCTAACTCCCAAATACTTCATCACTGCACCACTCTATTAAAAAAGCCATCAAACAAATTCAACAGCAGTGATTGTCGATCCATTAAGAAATCTATAAACTGTGAAAAGTGGACATTGAGTTCAGATTGTTCACAAGTTGGATGGAGGATTATTTGATGAATGCTTTCATCTAAAGAGCTTTCGAAAGAAGCTTTAAAGTTCTAAAGGAAAAATAGTGTAGATTTATCCTCTGTAACAGCGGTCGTACCTCAGGGTGTATGCTGTCTCTGAAGTTGACGTCACTGTCCAGACTCTCTCGTAGTCCTCCGCTGAACATGGCCTCAAAGTAACGACTGCATGCTGCCAAGACAGCTCTGCAGGAAACAAACCATTTTGTCAGTGAATAAAAATGGCACAGTCCTGCTCCAGAGGTCATATAAAAAAAACAAAAAAAACAAAGGAATGTGGAAAAGTATGTAGTGTATGTTACTCTCTGCTGTGGTGGCTGGGTCTACTAAATGATATATATAGTGAATTTCACAAATGTTTTCCACGCCTGTTTACCTGTGGCATGGGAAAGAGCGGTCCCCGGCCCACAGAATGACATCAGTGAACAGGCACTGTTTCCTCAAGGTGTTCAGGTGGGTCAGCACACTGTCGGGATGGGAAGGCTTGTGGAACAGCGAGATGTTCATGGAGCCCGTGCTAGTGCGGGACTTGCGATTCTCATGAACGGTCACCGACATGGTGGCCTCGTTTGGCACCTGCAGGGAGTCACTGGACACGACCTCTCCTACTGTCCAATGGCAAGAACAGAAAAGGGGAAATAAGTCAAGTTGTAGTTCAGCAGCACATTCATTTTCATAACTAAACCTGGAAATGAGAAGGAAGTTATCCCAGCTTATTACACAGCTTAGTTTAATTCAATTCCGATTGGTCGATTTGGACATTTTAAGGAAACTAAGGATGCTTTGATCAAGAGAACATGTGCAGTCATATCAAGTTAAGAAGTTAATTGTAGGTAAAGATAACAAGTTTACCTCCATAAGGAAACATCATGGAATACTTAAGTTTTATATTTGCGATGAGCAGGACACTTGTGATTATGATGGCTTAACTGTCCCCGGTAAAAGAAAAAGAACAAGAAGAAGAAAACAGACTAATTGCATCGGGGACCCTGCTCGTCCTGTCGGGGTTCTTTTCTCATTAAGGAGCGGCTCGCTGCACATCATCCATTACATAACGGAACAAAGAAAGACACGAATAAGAGACTGAGCTGTGAGACTAAAGGCTACTCCTGGGTAAGACACAACCTGAAATCTAAACCTATCTTACTCTGTTCTATATTACTTTGGTTCATTCTGCTTCATCTCTTCCTCCTTTTGAACCGTTCCCTTCATCTTTATTTATTTTGTCTTCTGGGTAACATCTTCTAATTGCCTTTCATCTCAGATTCCATTGTTATTTTACTCGTGTCTACTTTCCCCAGGAGAGCCAGGGAGCGCACAGCCACCCGTCTTTAATGATAAGATCTGAGGTGTCTGAAGCTACGCCTCCGCTGTTATCTGCTGCAATATTGTTAATTGTTTAACAAATGTCTCCAAACCCGATATAACTGTAATTGAATTGCATTTTTAGGCAGCAAACTTTTACATTGGAAGAGCTTTGGAGGCTATGACTCTTCCTCTCATCCATGCTGGCCCAAGGATACAAAGGAGGATTCATTTCAGTGTCAGTGTATACTGACATGAGCATGTGAGTGTGATAGACCTAAATACAATTCAAAATATCCTTAAAAACAAAGTCACATATCAATGCTTCCCTAATTTATAACAATATTTAAATCAGGTTTTTATTTATCTATTATAACCCAAAATGGGTAGTACTGATTTAAGCCTTTGGGGTATAGGTTTGTGTGCATGTAAATGGTCTGCTAAGGCTCACATCCCTGTGTTCCCTCCAGAGGGAGATTCTCTCCTCTCAACAATTATGAAGTTTCCCCATTTAGAACACAACTAGAAAATCTAATTTTACAAAAAAGGGACGAATAGACAAATATAAGCCAACAAGCATCTCCTCATATCAATGGTAAATAAACTTGAGGATGTTATTTGTATTTATTGTCAGATGAATTCATGTAGACTAACGACAAACCACTCTACAAGAAATGCAGTTTCAGTAGCCTCAGCTGTGTGTGTGTGTGTGTCTAAATGTGCTGACATGCAGTTTTCGATAGATAGATCAGTCATGAGGTGAGTGGTGTTCCACAGATCACAATAGAGGCTAGACAGCAGGCTCCATGTGGCTGCATGGTGTTCAATGAACAAAAGAGGAGCACATACATACAGTTAACAGTCACAACCACACATCATAGTAGATGTCACAGTGTGAGGCCGACGACACAACGCTGAGCTTGGATGTCTGAGATTTCACGTGTGTTTACTGTAAGTTTAATGACTACAATACATCTAAGAGCACAAAACAATTCAAGTGCTAATACATTTGAAAGTCAAATGTTGAGTGCACAGCTTTATGCAGGAGGGAGGATAGCATTGTATCACATGATGATTGAGGAATGAACGAGGAACTGTGTAGCTCAATTAGAGTCTGCAACAAGGATTCTCACACTCCTAATGATTAAAGCTGCAAAGTAAATACCCTGCACCCTCAGTCTGAGAGCAATGGGTCATCTATTCAATATGACCTGGAAGATAAGAGCAAATCCTGTTCGATCCTTCTTAGTGCTTTCAAAATGACAGTAATCCTTTGGTTAAAAAAAAAGAGCATAATGAACCATCACCAATTAGTGAAAAACAAAGATGCTGCTCAATGGGTCTCGAGGATTTCAATGCCAAGGACCAATAGGAGAAATGTTGGTCAAATGTTATCTGTTTATTATTTGGCTTGAGAATGAGGGAAAGGCTACATTTAAGAATGAGACCATCAATGCCTATGATTTCTGTTTTGTTGAAAAGTAGATGGATGTCAATAGAGGTGTGCATAACGCAAACAAACATATATATATATATACACAGTATATATATATATATTTTGCAACCCTATTCACCAAAACTCTTAACACAAAGATGTTCCCTCAACCTCTGGCCTACATATGGTCATAAAACATGTTTAACTATTTGTTAACCAACACAAATATAGGCCTGTCTAATACATAACATTTTAATTTGACGTGCTACTGCCGACCTTTTTAGTCCCAGAGAGAATCCTCTCTACCGGCCCATTAAAGACAGGGATCATGCAGGCCACCTTGGCCAGTTTGGCCCACCTGGGATACATTTCTGTGAAATCATTTATGAGGACTTTGCAGGTCTATTCAGCCTATTTTTAATACATATGGGGAAATGATGTTTCACCAGACATTATGACCGGAGAGATTTACATTTGCCATATTTTTCTAATAAGAGTCTGGTATATAGCCACCAACAGAAACACAAGTGTGGATTATCGTGACTTTTTACTAAAAGGTTTTTTGTATTTCTCCAACCCAAGTGATTTTAAGAATAGCAAGTTAAGGTTATTAAAAAAATAAAATTTTTTCCCTTTATCTATTCTACCATACAAACAGCTCTGGGAAAAATTAAGAGACCACTCATCAGTTTTTAATTTTTTTTTTATCTCAATCTCTACATCACAGCCATTCCAGTGTCTGTTGAATTCTAACAGCGAAACGTTGTCAGTAGTTTATAGAATAAAATAAAAGAAGCATTCCGTGAGGAGAAGCTATGTAAACGACTAACTGACACATGACGCACATATAAAGGTCCCAGTACTTAATCTTAATACATATTGTAAGCCATTGTTATACTGCTTTTTGTTGAACATAAGAAACTATAAAAAGTCTAATGACATGACTACATGGGTTTGTTTTCCTCTTGTCCTCCATAAAAAAATAAAATCACTATCCAATTACATTATTGAGCTGCATGCAGCACATTGATTTGTTCAGCCCCCCAATGCTTTGAATGCAGGTGGGCAGCCCAATGGACTCAGGTCTGAGACCGCCACAAGTAGAAATGAATTCTGTGGGAAACATGTACTGCCCATTTGTAGCAATATCTAAGTTATTTTGTAAACATAAATGTTTAAAACGATTTAGAATTTTGATTCTTACATGAATAGATTTTTTTTACCAGCACCCCTGATAGAGATAGTGTCCTTACGGTACGTCCACACGGCAGTGTCCATGGACCTGGATCTTCTGTTGCACAGTCTCATACTAATGTCAATAATTCAACAGCAGCATTTCCGTTCAAAGGTCATCCTCTTGAGAACTGGCTAAAGGTTAAGCAGTAATTCAACACAACTAGATTTAGTGTTGCAATAGGCTAATTTTTCCAGGGAACTGATTCATGCTGAGAACTCCAAATAGGTGGAAAGAGTAGTGTTTCTTTTATCTGAAAGATTTACTCAAAATTCAGACACTTCATAAACCAGAGACAGGTCCAATATTGTGTAATATGAGCAAGAACAGTATTCAAGGGACCATAGTGTGTTTTCTTTACAGAAGGTATATACCATTACCGGTTTCCAATAGACCGTCAAGTAACCTAATTTTCCCAACCAACCCCACAAAAACCAAATGTGGAGTGGTGCAGGAATGAGTCCTTATCCCAGAAACTAATTAGCATTTTAGCACTTCCCTCTTCTCAAAGTCATTTTTTTTTTTTTTCCATAAAAATAGTATCTAGTGTCTTGAGAACAGCGGTTGCTAACAAGTGACTAAATGAGACCAATAAATGTCTTCACCCCGGCACAAATCTGCCTTAAGCTTAGAGGTGGTGACATGACACTTTTGGCTATTATTTTATAGCAATTGACTTTCAGCTATCATAACATGAATGGTACTATTTGGAGATTATCCTGCACAACAAAACATGGAGGTATAATAAATGTGTGTGCCATAAATGTTATTTTCTGCAATAATCCAAATTCCAATGAAAGAAATCCCATTGGCCTTTGTAGAGGGAGCCCTAGCAATGCTAACTTCCTGCACCACTTTATTACAAGCTTATTAAAAGAACACACAAGGAGACAATGGTCACACGTGAGAAGCTGAAAACAGCCCAATGTTGACTTGAACTATAGGATGATAATCAATTGTTTTGTTTTTTGCCATTTACCAATTAATAAACACAACAGCACAATGTTTACAGGGTATTAGATATTTTTGCTAATTTAAGCTTTTAGGCAGTTGAAATTCTGCCATGCTAAGTGGCCAATCACTTATAGCTTTCATTACAAAAATCATTACTAACCATTATGAGTATAATGCAAGGAAGAGGGAGAGTATACGAGACATTTGTTATTAAAGGTCGGGTTTAGAGTTTCCTATAGTGCGTGTACGTTATATTCTGTTTTTTATGACTGTGATCTGTTGCTGATGTTAGGTCTCTAGGCACGACATATTGACTAACATAAGGAGGTGTATGCGATTTTTATGTAATGAATGAAAATTGTGTTGCTACGGACACACGAAACCATGTCCCAACCATAGTATGGTCGTTATCGCATGGGGAACGGAGCAAGGAGCTTCTCGTTTGGATTTTGTTTTGTGCTCTCACATGAACAATCGTTACAATCGAATAGACGTGTATTGCAATGTGTAATGTGAGCACAATGAGTGGCCTTTGGGACATTTTCGGTAGTGCGGTACGCCGAGAATGCCTTGGCTGATTGTAGGGAAAAGAGCATACATGTGCGAGAGTTGTACGGGTCTGAACACCTATACAGTGGAGAAAATTATGAACAAGCGGAGTAAGAATTTTCTTTCTCCACTTCATGGTTGCACTGCCGGCTAGAACACCCAACCACTGCACACGTTCTGGTCTCAACATCAAGTAACTCGCGAAGTAGTGTTTCTTTACGACATTGAGTGTCAAAATGCTGTGTAAAATTAAAAAAACGGAACTTTTTAATAGAAAATTTAACCTGTTTGTAGTATACACTTAGCACCTGTTAAGGTTTGCCAGCTTTCTACTAGAAAGGAGTAGTGGGTAACTGAAGTTATGAATAAAGTCTATATCTCCCGGTACCTTCTAGTTGGCCTTCCTCCTCCCTGAAGCGGTGAGTATACGATCATGCAATCTCGGCACTTGAAATGTTTATTATACAACATTTCTTCAAAGTGACCCTAGTCGCAGGGGAGGACTCGGTTTGCGTATTGAAGACCTTCGATAGGTGAACCTCATTTTCCCATCCAGTCTGACCCAATGCAACTGACAATAAAATGTACAATTCCTCAAGCGCTCGCGTTAACTATCAATAAACGATCGTGTGGTCTCACATCCTGAGTTTCTGACGCCCAATACTCTCCCCTCTGAGCAGTGGCTGGTCGAGTAAAGGATCCTAGCGCCAATTACTAGGCCTACTTAGTCCTGAGCGGTAGGAGCACTACACTCCTTCTTTCCTCTCCGCCAGACCACAAAGACTGTAACCACTCAAGGGACTTGTGGCCCTTGTGTATAAGTAGCATATTCTTGCAGGTTTTCCGTAAAACGGTACTATCCAGGGAAAAATATGAGACTCCAGATTTACGTAGTTGGTTTTGTATTTTTCGATTGTGCAAGCACATTTTTTTGATGTAGTGCACATTTAACGACCCCAAATTCCTGGTAAGGTCTTGGTGAGACTTCACCACCACGGACAACTAATCACTCAATCTCCCCCCCTCTGAAAGAAGGTTGACAGGTACTTTCGGTGGGACTACATGAACTTTTAGCATTACCCTTTCTATGGTACCAGTTTCTGTACGTCCTTCTGGTAAGACTGCATTGCCTCAACAACTTTGACGTAAAATAAAATTTGTAAGGTATTTATAAATTACTTAATGTTCAATGTCCCCTTGTAAATTATGAAGGATTTTGTAGACCCGCTGGAATTTTTAAAAGGGAAAAAAGGTATTCACTTTTTTAAGTGGTTTTATCGGTCGTTGTGACAAGTTTTTAAGACCAATACAACCTACATTTTGACTTTAGGCGCTTGTAAACCGGTTATCGCTGTGCGTAGCATTTCTTTATTCACCTACACCAGTTTGTCCTGCACCAACCTAATCAAAGGACTGGTCGTACGAAAAAATACTGAACAATTGTTACGTAAAGGGATGTCGAGCCTTGATGCAGAAAAAACGAAAAGATGATTCCCATCATGCGGAGGTGTACCATGAACAAAAATCTTGGTGGTAGTCAGCTCCAAGGTTTCCCTGACTATCGAATCGTTGCACTGTATTTTGTGACGGCTGGCGACTAACTCCAGTCTCTCTTAGCAGTGTATAAGGAACGCGCTCTTGCAGAGGTTCGCAGGTATTTCGGTTGAAAAAGATTTGTCTGTTCGATCGGGTAGTCATTCATTCGTTTAGGTATTTCTCTTACTCGTCGTTTCTTTTCGTCGGCACCAGCAACCTGGCTTACATGTCTGCAAGGAGGTATGAGCAACGCCTATTTTTTTATGTCGCCCTCGACTGCCGCGTCAGAAACCTCGTGGAAGGTTTTAGATGAAGTTGAAACTTCAACTATTATATATTTCGTGTGTATTCGCGATCACGGTTGACTTACTAGTATCAATTATCAATAGTAGTTGGGTTTGTAATCTCTCCAGGTCGCGAGTAAAGAGAGTATAGTAGTCAGAGTGTTGACACTACACGCATGTGCAGGACAAAAGACTTGTAATTTTTAGGTTCTCCTTGTTTTATTTGGTATAAGAGTGGAATGACAGGCAGATAGTCTGCTCAAGAGACAGTATCAGTTTTAGTAGTGTCCTCTGGATTTAGGAATCGAAGACCGAGTAGAGTAAAAGTAAAAATAAGTGTAGATCAACAAATTACAAAACATGGTGTTTGTAAAAGCTAAACACTTAATATATAATATTAATCCACCTGTACGACGACGTTGATCGTATTAAAGTCCTATAACTGCGTATTAACAACATATATTGCGGAAAATAATTTTTGTAAAAAAGGGGAGAAAATAAGAATAAATTAAACCGCAGTGTAATATCCTGTTCACTGTCAAAAGAGTTTAGGTATATAAAAATCTCTTGGGCTTTCACCTGTTTACTTTATCGTTTGTTTATAATCATTTTATTTTTGCTTTTTCATTGTGTCCCCAACAACTTTATCGTTTACAGAATGTGTACATGTACGTATGTATAGTTGTATGTATATAATCGTAAGTTTATGTGTATGTGTCGTATGTACACTGGGGTATGTATGTGTAGATATGTATCATGGTCATGTAAGTTAGCCACATATGCTTGTCCAGTTTGTTCCCTACCAGGCAGAAACCCTATCAAAAAAAAAAAAAAAAAAAAAAAAAAAAAAAAAAAAAAAAAAAAAAAAAAAAAAAAGAAAAAAAAAAAAAAACATGTAAAAGGTGAAAAAAGGTATAAAGAAGTTTACACAAAAAGGACTTCGGAGTAACTCTTCCACTAAGAAAGGTATGATCTAAAATACCTAAACAGCACGTCATACAGTTCTCTTCCCTTATAGTGCGAAACTCTGTAAAAAGATCAATAATGAAAAAAACGTCGCTAGACTTAACGTCTCGCACTCACGTTGCACGACCCTAGGAGACTCGACGAATTGTGCTATGCTCAACAGTCCTCCCCCCCTCTCGCGAGGCGAAATACATAAAGGGGTATAATAATGGCGTTTAAGTTAAGTTAAAACCTTATTATACGAAATAAAGTGCTCAATCATCAAACAAAATTTACATTATTGAATTAAGGTTTAACAACTAAAACTTAAGAAACTGTCCATAGTTTGTCTAGTGTACGACAAAAATGTTTTTCTTTTTACACTAGGAATGAAAAAAGAAATTGTGTAGACCGGAAAAAGCTAACCTCAGGAATCAACCTTGGCCTCTAATAAAACCACTTGGGTGTGAGTTTACAGGTGGAAACCAGGTGTCCCTGAGTATGAAAAATACTAGTTGTGGTGATGGTGTGCCCGTAACGAGTACCTCGTGTGCCTTACGGTACCCCGTTTGTTGTCCACACAACGTCGATACGGTGAAAAACCGTTTGGTTCCACACACACACACACACACACACACACACACACACACACACACCCACACACACACACACACACACACACACACACACACACACACACACACACACACACACCACACACACACACACACACACACCACACACACACACACACACCACACAACACACATCACACACACACACACACACACACACACACACACCGATGTTATAAATATACATACCGAAGACAAGACATAAACGAATAAAAGTGTGCATAAGCTATACTTTTTTACGAAGTGGAAGTGACTTTGACAAAACAATCTTGACATAGGTGGGGGAGTGTTGTAGTGGATGAAATTGTACCCAACCCTACTTACGGTCACTATGAGAGGAGATTTGACCAGACACAAGTAATCAGGACACTTCGGCAGGACCCTACGGTCTCGGCGGGGGGGGGCGGACTGACAGTCAGGCCACCGGACCAGTCGGTCGGAGACAGTGACATGCAATCGCGGACGGTTCACCTTACTTCGGACTGTGGGAACAAATTATAAGGAAAGACCAAACCAGTAGAGACTGAGCGGATGGCGGGGAGGCCCCTAGGCGGAGGGGGGGTCGGCACGGGGGGGTGTACGTAGGGTTGACCGT